TAATAATATATAATATGTAATTAATATATAATATTAATATAATTTATATATAATATGTAATTAATATATAATATTAATATATTAATATATAATATTAATATATTAATATATTAATATTTAATTAGTAAATAATTAATTTAAAATTAGACTTACCTGGAAAATTTTTATCGAGTTCATTCAAACTTTTTATTTTGTCATATAAAATTAAAATCTTTAAAGTGAGGCGAAATTTTGCTACGTAATAATTCAAAATGTTTTCCACAACTACTAAATAAAATAATAAAAGATAATAATAAATATGAACTAAAAGTTATTTTATGCATGGAAATATCTATAAATAAACGTATTTCATAATTGTGCTTAATTTTTTTAAAATTCCCTTAATAAGCTCTCGGTACGCAAGATACGCAAAAAGTAAAATTAACATTAAGGGATAATAACTTTCGTCCTCTCTTCTGACAAAACCAATTAAACTATGTTTTTAGATTGCGGCTAGCCCTCCATATTTTGAAGGTTAAGAATTCAAATTATTTGTAAGAAAGCTATATTTATTTAAAGAAAGTACATTTTGTGTCAGATTTCGTATGATAAAATATTGTCTGCATTAACTAATTAGTATATTTGAAGTCACCCCCTTGAAAATTAAGACAGAGTCTTAGTACATGAAAATCCAACCATTAGGTGACAGGTTATTCATGGTATTTTCTTTTTTTTTTTGCACAGCTTACAGTGCACCAAAAAAGAAATGAACCACCTTGAGTAACTTTTAATCTAATGATCAGATCTTCACGTTTTAAAACTCCCTCTTAATGGTTGACTTCAAAAATGCTATTCAATCAGTGTAACGTACGTATAAAACGTACTTACGTACGTTTTTGTACGTATCTTATTGTACGTATGTTTAAAACGTGTCTGAATAGCCATAAATTTTTTTCATGGATTTGGATTTCTGATCCCCAAAATATAGGGGGTAGTCGTAATCTGGGAAATATGGCCCCCATAGTTTAGTCAGGAGAGCAATACAAAGTTTGGACCCCCTAATTTAATTTCACCTTTTGCGTATTTCGTCATATCTTGGGAACTTTTAAGAGAAATAAAACGTTTTTGCACACAATTAAAAAAGTCGTTTTTCCAAAGATAATTCCGTGTAAAAAATTTATTTTTGTAAATATTTATTATTTTTTGCTATTTTATTTAATAATAGTCGAAAATTTTAATGGTAGGGTATATAACTTTTTACATAGTTTTAAAGTTTCTAATTTCACATGAAAAAATACAAAAATTTGAGCGAAATCTGTTGAGCATTTTTAAAATTAAACGTTATTATTACATATAACATATTAATTAATATAACATATTAATTAATATAATATTATAATTTTTAAAATAAACGAAATTTTTAAAATTCGATGACTCAAAAACTATTCACCCGATTGCTCTTAAAGTTTATATTTTTCCGTGTAAAATTAGATGCTTTAAAGTATGTAAAAAATTGTATACCTTACTACTCAAAATTTTTTGGACTATTATTAAATAAAATGAAAATAATAAATATTTACTAAAATTAATTTTTTGCATGGAAATATTTGGACAGATGAATTTTACAGCTGTGTGCAAATTCTTTTTAATTCGCTTAGAAAGTTTCCAGATAGGACAAAATACGCAAAAAGAAAAGTTTCCCAGACTGAGGTCACTCCCTACATTTTGGGGTTAGAAATCTGAATTCCTCAAAAAAAAAAAAAAAAAAAAATGATGCTTATTCGAAGAAATTTCTGTCTCTCATTTTGTAACTTAAAATATTGTCAGAACTAATTAATTAGCATAATTGAGGGCACCCCTTCGGACCATTAAGAAGGAGTCCTAAAACGTGAAGGTCCGATGATTAGATTAAAAATTATTCAGGGTGTTAAGTTTTTTTTGGCACACTTGAGTGAATTTTTTAATATTTTATAGTGAATATTTTTAGAGTGATTGTCTCATTGTTTTTAGACTGATTGCTATTAGTGATTGTTATTTTAAATGGTAGTGAATAAATTACTAGTTATTACGATTCTACGTAGAACTCCATTTTTACTTAAAGTTCAAGAATTTAATTTTGCAGGTCTACAAGAATGAAGTTGTTAGTTTTGCTCTTTCTTGTTGGTTGCGCAATCGCATCACCCATCTATGACATCCATGATGGTGAGATTGATTTAAGATTCTTAAATGGCTAATTTATTTTATAATATGTATTTATGTATTTTAAAAAAAATGCTAAACACCCTAATATCCGAAACGATTGATTAAGAAAAAGTTTTATTAGTAAAGAAAATATATGTGATTTTTTAATTCATAATGCTAAAAGCCTTTATTGGACTGGATAACCTGGTTGGCAGGGAGCTGGACTCACGCTCATGAGAACGGGAATTCGAATTTATCCGACTAAAGACTCCCCGTGTAGTAAATGGTGACTGGTGCTTGTTAAATCTATCGCGTCACAGAGCCCTCCATGCTCCTATAACAAATTATGCCTGTTGGGGTACTGAATTGGAAATTGTTTGCTATCTGTTCCAGGATAAAATTACGATCGGGGGACGTATGAATGGATCCTCCTAATGAACGGGTGTGACGTATGGGTGTGGCAAAAATTGAATTCTTGGCCATAGATGGCACCACTAGAAAAATAAGAACAATCGTTAACATCGCGTTAAAATTGGTGTTCTGGCCGAAAATAAAAAGAAAATTAATGTCATGTTTATATTTCCTATGTGAAAACACAAATTTCCTTTCCATTTTAGTCATTTAAACAGACACTCATGGTGCGATTTCAGAAAATATGTGGAGATAGTATCTACCTATTTGTCCACCTCGAACTCAATTGCTTCTTAAAAAATATTAAGTAGAATGTATTCAATTAAAAAATACCATGTGGACCGCTCTGCCACCCAAAGCAAGGAATGTAAATGCAGAGGTGGAATATGACATGCCGAGGGACATTTTAATTTATGAACTTGAAGCGAGTTCTTTTTTCGAAATTCTAATTCGTTTACACGTTATAACAATTCAAAATGCTTTTCTTTTCGTCAATTTTTTCTGACCTATTTTGCTATAAATAATAATTGTTAATCAATTGTTAGAGGACTATTTATTTCAATTCAAGATATTTTTACAACCTCATGCGCGAGTTGATGTAAAAAGTAAAAAAAGAGATAGGTTAGATGTTGCCAAAAAATATTAATGTTGAAATTTTTGAAACTGTAAAAAAGCTTAAATATCGTTAATTTTTTGAACTTTTATAATGATATAAGGTTATCTCTAACGAGTAAAATTATTTCGCATTTATTTCTTCTTATTCTGTCAGCCATTCCGTATTCCTAATTTTTTCAAGTACTGTTTTTTATCATTCATACCTGGGTAATCATTCATTTTGTAAAGATTCCCATGTTAACAAAATGTTATTACGTAAAACTTTAATAACTGTATAATTCATTAACAAAACATTCTTTTATCCATTGGTAAATATCCATAAATCAACAATAAATGCGTAGCGATCACGAGGGTTGTTGAGCAGTACTATTAAGTAATTATAAAACCATAAAAAAATAATGCATTTCAGCGAATCAATTTCTTAGCAATATATTTCCCAACAAAGAAACGAAAATGACAAAAAAACAAGTAAATTAATTTGAACAAATTAAATTTGTGTGGCAAAAATTAAAAAAAAAACTCTTTTGCTAATGCTTAATTGATTATAAATCGAAATTACTTCATTATACTTAACACGAAGAAATTTTATAAACATTTTTCTGTCAAATTTAGTCGTGCAATATTATTTGAAATGTTTTGCTTATTTTGTTTATTAAATACAACTATAAGTGAAAAAAATTTTTAATCTTATTTTTTATAAATAGTTTTGGAAGATGCTGCCGATGAAGTCTACCATGATTTCATGACTAGCCTAGATGATGCAGGAGCACAAGTCTTCGCTGATGAGTCAGTAATGCTTGAAATATTTACTATCTAATTAGACAAATTTCTAAGTGATTATAGGCGTCTGTGATTTTACTATCATTAGAACTAAAAGAACTAACTAAAGCACACATGCTTTAAAGCTGCCATGATTATCATCTTCGCTGCTCAGTACAATCAACACATTGTAGAAGAGAGAAGGCCAAAGCAGGGATCAATTTAGTAGGAAATCTAATCAATCTAATAGGAAATCTGTCACTACGTTACTAAAAGATCAAATTTCTCGTTTATTGAAATCCATGCTGAGGCCTTCTCTCTTCTAGAAGGTCGTGATACAATACAAATAAATGAATGAAAAAAACTGAATCATCTAATAATAAAAAATAGAGTTAAAATATTTAAAAATGAATATAGAAAAAAAAACTGAATAAACGGTAAAGAAAATCGCATAATTACAGTATCTCACAAACTTCAAATTTAGAGGAAAGTTGTGATTTGTAGAACTGATGGTAAAATTGAATTATCAAAGACTTCCATATAATACATGTGATAGGCTACCCAAGCATCTAAGTCTTTGGTAGAAAACATAATTTTTATAAAAGGAATATTGGTAGATCAGATGGAGCAACTGATGTATGGTACAATAATATAATACAATATACTATTGTAAATATAATACAATAAATCTTTTTAGTCTCAACTTTTATTTGATCATTTAATTTTAATTTAATTTTTCTTCTAATTTTAAAAAAAAAACTATATAAAAAAAACTATACTTTTAACTATATTCCTCAACTTCATTTTTCAGTATAATACTGAAGATGCTGTTCAGTATAGTGTCAAAATATACATGTTTTTTTAACTATAGTAGTGCAGTATTTTTGAGAGTTTAACTGTTTTTTAAAAATCTTTTACAGATATTTCTGATCATTTTAAAATTCCATGGTCTTAATAAAATTTAAAACATGTTACACTGCTAAATTTACTAATGGCTTCCTCTGAGATCTTACGAATGCTTAAACATAGTATGACGAAATAAAACTGAACTATAATTTCGTCTGTTAAATCAATATTACTGAACAAAATTGTAATAAAGCAATATTAATGTTAATTGTAATAAAAATAAAGCCATATTACTGAACAATATTGTTGCCTGAACAAAAGTTCAGACAATTGTTTAGACTAGAAGTGTAGATTTCTTTGTGCTGCAAAAAGTACTTATTATGCTAATAGAATTAAAAAATACATTTTTAATGTTTTTCTTGCTTAAAATGTTTTAGTGTCTACAATTGTAATTTCATGTTGAACAATTCTATAATCTAAGTAAAGTATTTTGGCACCAAAAATTTAATTAAAAAAAAATTATGACGTTATTTTTGTAAAAGAATACATATTTTTTTTAAAAGTAAGATTGAAACATTTTTAAAATTTTCGTTGCCTTTAAGATTGTTTTAAATTAAAATTTTAAATATATATTTTGGTTGCGTTTTTAGAAATTGATTATTTTTTTCCAGAAATGATATCAAGACTGAAGTTGGCCAAAAACTTAAAGATGCTCTATCAAAGGTTTTGGAAAGAATTAAGGATGCTGTCGATCAAGGCAAAGTTGTCGGAGAAGACCTCCAAAACAAAGTAAATTGATTTTTTCATTTAAAGACTAAAATATGTTTACAAATTTCAATCAAATTTTTTTTTCAAATGAAAAGATCTTTATTGTTGGGAATCAGGATTTCTTAAGCACTACAAGCACTACATTTTTTATAATAAAATTAAGGTATCTGACTTGTTTCGATCCTAATTTTTTTAAATATTAATAAATTTTTTTAAAAAACTAGTTTACGTTTTATTAAGTGTAAAAACTTATAAACCCAGCAAAAAATTGTCCTTAATTTATTCTTTTTTTAAAAGGGGTAATTTGAGGTTAAAGTAAAGCATTTTTGCATATACGCTAAACACTGTTAAAAATATCTCTATGAGTCGAAACGAAAAAAAAATTATTTTGAGAATTTCGTTTAGAAGGCTATTAACTATGTTTTGAACTATTATCTTAAAAGCAAGTGCATATACTACTGAGTTAGGGATCGATGAAGTTAAAAAAGCAAATTGTTAGAAATTTCATTTGCGAAAAAACATGCAGAAAAAATGAAACTTTTTTTTCTCTTAGTCTGTAGTTTAAAACATGTGCGCTATAATTAAAAGCACTCATGAAAAATTATAGACAATTATTTTAAAAACAATATGAGATATCATGTTTAAGGTGGTGTAAAATGTGAGAAAAAAACCCGGATTTTGAAATAAAAAGCATTTAAATATTTAAAATCACTAGTCTATCAACTCTTTATGATTTACCTGTAAAAATTTGTTGAGGTACGAATGCAACTACATTGTTGAAATTTGATGTGTTGAAAAAGTCATTTTCAGTTACACACTTTTTTCCGATATTCCAATTTGCTTAAAAGTTATTGCGATTATAAGTATTTTTTTACGAATTTTTTCTCAATATTTTGCTTTACTTTAAGGTACCCAAATACCGTCGGTGATATTTAAGCATTTTTAACTATTCTTTTCAATTTAATTTATAAATTTTTTTATTAAAATATATTATTTATATTCAATTTTAAGCGTGTATTGTACACTAAAATATTGAAGTAAATGTAAAAAAATAATGGAAAAAATGGGGTTTGGGGGAAATTCGTCAAAAAAGGCATAAAACTGACCTTTCCTAAAATGACTTAACTTCGATAAAATTTATTATTCTTTTCTTGTTCATGCTCATAATAACTAAAATTGAGGAACAGACTACGCATAAGACATAATATCAATGTTTAGATATTTTAAAGCAAATATTGAAACCTACACTGGTGAAATAAATTAAGGGAATTTGCATATTTCTTAGAATTTTATGAAAAGAACTGTCAAACTACTGTTTTTTGGCAAAAATTCGTTAGTGTACACGTGTGAGTCGACGTAGTCAGTAGAGAAACATGCTTTATAAGTGAGTGTATGTTAAAACGCATTTCGTTCTCTAGCACACCTTGGCGAATTTCTTGGTGTTATATTGCAGCAATAGATTAAATTCAAATTGCAACAGTAAAAATGAGTAACCACCCACGTTAAAATGATGGAATGAGAATTGTGGGGAGCCTTGAAGCAAGCCAATCATAGGTCCATATTTGCAGAGAGTTCAATTTAACAGCCAGCATCGTGTGTAACTTATAGAAGCGGTTCCAAACTCGACCAAGAGCCACGACAGCTGGAAAAGATCGGCATTTGTCCCTTATAGCGAGGCGTAACAGAGGGGCTACAGCTTCTCAGCTTTCTCGTGACTTGTATGCAGCCACAGGAACCCGTGTATCAAGGGTGACTGTTTCCAAAGGACTTCATGACAGAGGGTTGTTTGCAAGAAGACCTGCTGTTTGTGTCCCGATCATTTCTACGAACAGGAGAGTCTATTCAGCATTGTGCAGAGAGCATCGAGATTGGAGTATGGATCAATGGGCTACCGTCCTCTTCACTGATGAGTCCTGGTTCAGCCTAAATACCGATTCTCGCCGTATCAGTGTTTAGGCTGAAATCGACCATTATGGCGGAGCAGGTATAATGGTTTGGGCAGGCATCATATTGGATGGCCCCACACCTCTCCATGTATTTGAAAGAGGCTCTCTGACTGGCGTGAGGTACAGGAATGAGGTTTTGGAGCCCTATGTTCACTTTTTCAGGAGTGTAGTTGGCCCCGAGTTAACGATAACGCGATAGTTAACGATAGACGATAACGCGAGGCCACAAGGCAATTGCGCGCTCGAAAAAATTTCAACTCGCTACCCCCTCCGAGGACAGCGAAAACAGCGTTGCTGAGTGAGTGGGACCAATTGCCACAGGAAATGATTAACTGCCCTATTTCAATTATGAAACCACACTGCAAGGCCTGTATATCTGCAAGCTGCAAGGCCTGTATAACCCATATTAGCATTTCAGGGTGAGGTAAAGCTCTGGAACTTACCCCGGTGAGCCTAACGGCAAATGGAGTCTAACCTATGTTCAATCTACCCCTGAGGATATTTTACGTTCGAACTGTGGCCAGTGCGAGTCGGTAGCAGAATTCGAATCAACTAATCACCGCTGTGATTCGAGCCTGGGTTTTCTTATTTGGATAGGAACGCGGTATCCTCTGTGCCACCTTAGCTGAGTTTCATATTTAAATGTCCCTTTTCTATCTACCAGTAATATCTCTTTCGTAACTTTAAAGTTGTGTTTCACCAAAGTAACCCCTCTGAATGGAAATTTTGTCAGGATTAAAACAAAGATACAAGTTTAATATATGTTATATCCATTAAATACGTTACTTATTATTATTATTAGTTGAAAGAGCTCAAAGAAAAATTGAAAGAGATGAAAATCGACATGGGTGATAAAGCCAGAGAATTAATGGACAAGCTCAGAGAGAAGACTAGAGACTTCATTAAGGATCTGTTAGATAAACTGGGAGTCAAAGGTAGCAGTAAAAGATCTGTTCAACACGCAGAGATTCAACAGATTGAAATCAACCTCAAGGATCTTTTCAGAAAGCTGAAGAAAGAGGTAAAATCAGAGCGTTTGTTCTCAAAAGCGTAGATTATAATAAGTCATTTTATTTAACATGTTTTATTAGACATTTCTCGGATAAAATGGTTAAATAACAATTTGTTTAATTGTTTTTTTTTACTGTACTCAAACAAAATAGTCCAGTGACGGTAAATAAGATGGTATTCGAACTGGTAGCTAATGAAGCTCCTTGCTGCTGGGTACATTTCATAGCCGAGAGTACTGATCAGTTAATCACATAAGCGACAGAACGGAAGTTCGAATCTCAGTATTGAAGCCACAATACCACCTCTTGATAAACCATAATCTAACTCCAATGTCCCTTATCTAAACGAATAGCTTGGCTACAATGTCCAGTTAAATTTCTTTTTTACGGTTTCTTATTTACATACTTTTTACTCCACGACAGACAGGGACGAAAGTATTTCGGTCACGAAACTAACAAACCGTTAGCTTCGTCAGCGCGTGTGAAATTGCCTGCTTTTCGTCATTCACCTCTCTTAATTTAAAGGCAAACGTCTGCGCAGAATTGTTTCAATACACAACCTATACTGAATGAACAGTAAATACAGTACAGAAAGTGAGAAAATATCTAAAACGGATAATGTTGCTGAAATTAAGTTATATAATCTACTGTATATACATGGTCGGACAAAGTAACTGTTAGTATCGTGATATAAACATTATTATCTGTCTGTGGAACAAAAAGTCGTGATCATTTTGTATGTAGAACTGATTATGAGCTTAGATTAGCTTAGAAAATGAGGCAAAATATAACAAACAAATTATGCCAAATAACAGACAAATTATGCCCAAATTTGACCTGGTGAATCATGGTGGAGTTTACTCACAGCAACTTCCATATTCTGGTGAATTCTGGGCTATTTTGTCATAGTTTTGTCAAACTAAACTGCTAAACACCAAACTAAAGAGCTGCTTTTACCCTTTGACGCAGATGGTATGTTGATAGTTCTCGAACGCCTTAATCTCTCATACTTTAATTTTTATCCTAAACAGTTCTTGAGTGTTATTTTTTTAAAAAAAAATGCCCTTAAGTTTTAATATGTTTAAAAAAAAACTTCGCTTCAAGGGGTTAAAATATTAAAATTTTGTCGAGGGTAATCAATATAATTAAATTGTTATAATGAGACTATTTTCCTACTGCGGTTAAACATTTTGATTAAAAAAATAAATAGAAAAATGATGCATTTTATGAAATTAGAGACATTTCGAGGATTCGGTGGGGGACCTTAATATATTTCGATATTCAAAATACTTTTTGCCAGACATTTCAGACATTTCGAGGATTTGGTGGGGGATCTTAATATATTTCGATATTCAAAATACTTTTTGCCAGCATTTCTTACCAATTCACAATTGAACAAAACCACAAGTGAATTGATTTTATCAAAAAATGAAAAATCGATAGACTCCACTTCATTATTCAGTTCATTATTTGTAGCAATATTATATAATGTTACAAATTAACTTAATTGCTCAACTCAAAATTTCAAATTCATTTAATAAATTTGTATTTGTCATACAAATATTTTTAATTTCAGACATTTACGTCTGCCTATGTATATCTTTCTGTAATTTTCATAATTATTTTCAGCTCTTAGAAACCATTGATAAAGAAAAGGTTAAGGCCATGATTGAGAAGCTCTTTGGAAAAGGAAGTGACGTAAGTATTTTTTACTTACTTTTTATGATAAAATTGAATATCTTTTTAATATTTTTAATCTTACATGCAATATGTCATTAATTATTATAAGAAAAAAATAATATTTTTTATTTCCTGATTTATAAACAAAGAAAAAAGGGTAATTGTAAGATAACATATGGGAAAATATTTTACATACGAAAACTCAATGGTTCTTTTTGTTTAAAATAAAGAAATACTGTTATTCAGTTTTAAAATTTAACTATAACAATACATTAGGAGCATGCCTGGCAAGTTTTAAGAATGGGCGCCTATTTTTGAGCACTTGGAACATGTCGACTTTTATTATCATGTTCATATTTTTTTAAACCAATGAAGTTTTTAGTCAAGCATGTCTTTCTACGTTAATTTCTTGGAATTATTTATCTAACTATTGTTTATCGAAATGTCAGAACCATAATTTTAGCACTATATTATGTAAATTTAAAAAGAATGAAATCAAAAAAAGTACATAACGGTAAGTAAATACAAATGCAAAAAATAATAAAATAATAATTTAAGAGAGTAATTGCAATAATCCATTGTAACTGCTTTGCATTTTTTTTCTGATTTCTCTCATAATAAAGACAGAGATTAATAGTGATCAGTAAAACAATATTTAAATAATAACAAATTTAATCGATAGCATAATTTTAGCAATGTATTAAAATTACCTTCAGTTATGTTGATGATTGCTTTGACAATTGAAACAGAAAATAATTTTAGTTAGACAATATTTTAACAATAATAAATTGAACAGATAAAATGATTCTAGAACTGCATTGAAACTGCTTAGTTATTCTACTGATCCTTCCGCCCATGAAAACAGAAAATAACTCATAAAATACGATCTTTACACATACATTTGCACTTTTCAAAATAATTGGAGTTGTATTTTGATGTAAAACAAAGAAAACACCTAATTCATTTTGCTGGATTTATATTGCCATCAGAGTTGATTTGAACAAACAAATTTAATTGAACGAAATTTACTAATTAGTCAAAATCATGAAGAGTAGTTTTATATATTTCCTAAAAAAATGTTTTAAGCATATATATATTCTGAACTCTAAAGTACCAATTATGGTTCACAACGTGTCAAGTCAACTCCTCTTAGTACTTAGCATGGTTCTGATAAAATAACAGTAATGAATGGTAATTTCTGATAAAAAAACCCCCCCCCAGAAATCTGGTTATTGACACCAAAAAATACGGTTTTCAAATCATTCATTTGTAAATTGCTCTGTTCAGATGGAAACGGTTTAACAGAAAATCTTATTTTCAAAAATTTCTACTTCTTACTACCAAACATTTAGTGCAAAATACAAAACTGAAAAGTGAATTTAAACAAATAAGCGGTTTTGACATGTTCTATGGTTTAATGATAAAATTATCTAATTTTACTACGCATACAAAATTTTATCACACGTTCATCAAAAAGCCATATTTTATTGGTAAATTTACCAAAACCATTAGCAAAGCGCTGCAGTAAAAAATCGTGGTTTTCGGTGTTCCAATAGATCCAGAAACACGGTAAATTTCACCATATTGCAAGTTGTTATTTGTAGTATGCATTATAGATGATAATAAGATTTAAATAGGTAATACAAAAAAATTATATCAAGTTAATTATGAAATGTGATAAAATTTTTAGATGACTAAAGCCTTGGAAGATCTCATTAACAAAAAAGGATCAGAATACAAACAAAAATTGTTAGACTTGATTGACCGATTCTTGGGAAAAGATGGCCAATTTGCTGAGCAACACTCCCTCGGAGACTACTGGCAAAAAATCAAGGATTACTTCAAGGACCTTAAAATTGACCTCCAAGAAAAGTACATGAAATTCGGTGAATGGATAAAAAAATACGCCAAAGAAACACTTGACAAAGGAAAAGGAAAAATGGACAACATTAAGCAAATTGCAAACGAGGTATTATGATTAATATAATATTTATATGATTTTACAAATTTAAAGCTTTTGAAATAGTTGTTCTTGCATGATTTGACAATTTGTTTTCCTAGTCTTAAAATACAGGCAAAAAATTTAACTGAGTTAATCAATATTATAAACTTTCCTTTATGAGAAATTTTTAGCTCAAAATTATTCAAATTACACAAATAGTAAAAACTTTGGACCACTTTTTAATTAAAGTTCTGAATGAAAGTGAATTAATCTAGAAAAGTTTAATCACGAACTTTTAAGGAAATATTGATTCATATGTTACATAGTGAGGCTCTTATGCATCATCATGCACTATTGTATGTTCCCGAATTACTCACGAAATGAATATTTTGAGTAAAACTTTTAATATTTCTCATTTCTGTTAGAAATTAAGAATGTAGTAAGCATTATTTAATAAATAACAACTAAATATAAAATAATTCTAAAAGAAAGAAAGACAATCTTATACATTTATAAATGCCGACAGGGTGGCTGAGCGGCTAGCGTACCTGACTGCGAAAACATGGCTGCGGGTCAGAAATCACACTCAGGCAATGAATGTTTCTCTCTATGTATTGTCCCCTGTTATGTGATGAGGGATATTATAACCGTCATTGAAAAGCAGACCCAATTTTTTGGGATTATGACTACTTATGTTCAACTCCGTAGCCTTGTAATTTTGATCCCAATCCAGAAGACAAGGGAACTACTGGATCAATTATTGGGCGAAATTTACCTTCTTGAAAGACTTTTTGATGGAACTAACCCGCATTTGAGTCAAATGGTAAGGAAAACCACACAGCCTCCCTCGGTAAGCATGGCTACAAGGGGACTCTAACCCATGATCCGTCTACCCCTGAGGATATTTTGCGTCAGCCCTGTGGTCGGGGCAAGTCAGATGTGGAATTCATATCGACCAGCCATCACTGGGATTCGAACCGGGTTTACCTCATTGGAAGGCGAACGCGCTATCCCCTGAGCCATCACGGCTCCTGTGATGTGTGATTGTGGTTTACCCAAGAACGGGAATCTGTGGCAGTGTGTCATGGGTAATTCTGTTCGCCATCGTGACATAGGCTCACAAGTGCAATCTTAAATGAAGAACAATTCCGGCATCTTTCGAAGCAAAGAGCGAATAGTTCAGTGCCTGCCGTAAGGGTGATTCTAAGAATAAAATTGGCAAGATATATAAAAATTGGAAAATTATTCATTTTTTTTAATTTCGTAGCTCTAAATCAAATAAAAGCTATCAATGTTTAATTAATCATAAAGTTTAATGAACTTAATGAATGGTCGTTGTATATAATTATGTCTAAAATTCCAATTTTTTAAACTGTGTTTCTGTTTTAG